ACGTCAAAGTCGTCCAAAATGTCAGAAATTTGAAATAAGGGAAGTTTACTGCCTCCCACTAACCATGCACAAATAAAGACAAGCAGTAACCTTATTAAGGGAATCCTTAATTTCGGAGCCAAATGCGCATGCGTAGATGTCAAAATAAGGCTAATTTAAATACTGCTTGTCCTTATGGCACGTCCTCTATTATATGATTTAATAACGTTATGAACAACAATGGGCTGGCTCGTCTTGAACTAGCGAAGGCTTTTAACGAAAACCTCACAGTAAGGCCGCGATTTTATGCATTCGTCCTAAGTGACCGGACTTTCGTAAAAAAAATTCGGCTAAATAAAGCTACGTTTGAAGACTTATATGAGGCTTTACAGGGCTATTTAGTGGCGCCAAGAAAAGCATCTTCCCCGAGCACCATATAATACCGCTGAGGCTTTTGCAACATTTTTTTACTCAACTTTTTGGTAAAGGTTGGGGCGTTCTCTGACAAACTGGACAAGAAGCCTTTTTCCTCCGCATCTGCCTTTGCGGAGCTCTTTTTTCTATCTACAGGAATAGGGCTTGGTGAAATAATATTCATTTTTTGTGGTAAATTGCTTATAAACACGAAACATATTTTAGAAAATTCTAACCTCAAAACATCAAAAAAATCATCATAAATAAATGTCATCGTAAAATATACGTCACCCGTCACCGTCAGCCAAAGTATCGTAAAATTCAAAAATCCACTCATTTTTATATGGTAGATTTTCAACATTTTGTGAAAAGGAAACTGGCAACGCAGCGAGCGAGTGCATCTTTTGCGTGCACGCAAGTAGATGGCGTTTTCCATTTGTCATCTCAGTGCAGCATTCAGTGCGCACGAGAATTTTTCTAGTGCTGTCAAAAACGCGCATCAGTGCAGTATAAATGGAAAGGAAAAATGCAGACTCGGCTCGGATTCTGGGGTTATGTAAAATCATATGTTGGTTTGCTGTTTTTGTTTAGCACTTGCCGGTTTCTGGTTTCCTGCTCTGCATGTTTTATAGTATAGGCTGTTCATTTGTACTTGCTACCTACTCGCAAAATCAGGAAGATCTGCTAGGAGCTGCTGTTTATGAGCTTATTATATGGGAGTTATGGGACAAGTGAACGCCGATCAGCTTATGAGATCTGCTTGAAAAAAGGGAAGCAGTACAAATGAACAGCCTAATTGTTATATTAATAAGTTTAGTCTGGGCTGTCGTTCTATGGTTCTAGGGTTAACTACAGAAACTATTTAAAAAATTGATGTATTTGAAATGAATTTTAGAGTAGAGTTAATGAAGAAGAAGTCATACAAAATAAATATTTAGTTCGATGGTCCAGATCATTTATTCAATATAACAGCTTTTTCTAGTTCTTCTCCGCGGTTTCACCCGCCGTTAAATTTAGAAGAAATTGACTATCTATAAATAATTTAAAGTAGGTACTTCGCATCAGACAATATTTTTAAACAACAATAATAATATATCTAAAAACAACGTGGATAAGCTGCGGAATTCGTTCAAATAATATAATTTCGTCAGAGAATTATAGAATTCAACTTCGCTGCTGCTACATATCAAATCCAAAAGTGCAACAACTTTTTCTTTGGAAATTAGCAGACATTTTTATGTACGGTACATATAAACAAAAATAAAACAAACTGCACTGGCTCTCCACGAGCCTTCCTAGCTCGTGCCAAAAAATGCGCACTGAGTGCATAAATAATTGCACTGAATTTCAAATGGAAAATGAAAACTGAAAATGTGCAGTCAAATGGAATATAAAAATTGCACTCAGTGCACCTCCGTGAAACAAATGGAAAACGCCAAGAGATGCACACATCCAATGTCAATTTCAAATAAAGCTATTCGCACATAACAAGTTGCGTATACGAACAAATTGATGCAACTTTACGTGCACGCAAATATTTGCGATCGATTTCAAATAAAGCCCCCAGTGGTTCATCCATTTGAAATTGACATTGAACGCGTGCATCTCTACTTGCGTGCACGCAAAAGATGCACTCGCTCGCTGCGTTGCCAGTTTTCTTTTCACAAAATGTTGAAAATCTACCATATAAAAATATGTGGATTTTTGAATTTTACGATATTTTGGCTGACGGCGGTGACGTATATTTTACGATGACATTTATTTATTATGATTTTTTTGATGTTTTGAGGTTAGAATGTTCTAAAATATGTTTCGTGTTTATAAGCAATTTACCACAAAAAATGAATATTATTTCACCAAGCCCTATTCCTGTAGATAGAAAAAAGAGCTCCGCAATTGCAGATGCGGAGGAAAAAAGGCTTCTTGTCCAGTTTGTCAGAGAACGCCCCAACCTTTACCAAAAAGTCGAGTAAAAAAATGTTGCAAAAGCCTCAGCGGTATTCATAGAGGATATTATACGGTGCTCGGTGGAGGATGCTTTTCTTGGCGCCACTAAATAGCCCTGTATAGTCTCATATGTCTTCAAAAGTAGCTCGATCATTTAGGATGAAGGCATAAAATCGCGGCCTTACTGTGAGGTTTTTGTTAAAAGCCTTCGCTAGTTCAACACGAGCCAGCCCATTGTTGTTAATAACGTTATTAAATCATATATTATTTATAAAAATCACCACAACATTCGAACTTATTTGAAGTGAACCATCAAAATTAAAATAAATCGAAATAAATTGACAACACAACTTGCGTGTGCGAGCTAGATTTGCGATCGGTACACCCCCATGCGCAAAAGTTGCAAGTGGTGCAAAGTCATATCGCTCGCAGTGCATTTCAAATAAGCCGTGCACCAGTTTTCAATCGCAAATAACGTCATTTGCGTATACGCAAAGTTGCATCAATTTCAAATAAAGCCCCCCAGGACGGATGCTTGCAAAATTGTCACAAGCTGATGGTATCTTTAGAAAATGTTTATTTTTTACAATAGACCAAACTGAAGAAATCAGGATTGAAATAAGGATAGGTCTAACAAGCACGTTAAAATATTTAGCGTTTTATTATTGTTATCAAAAAATGGATTTTCAAATTAACTATTAGGCAATTCAAACCACGTGACATTCAAGATGGCGTGGCGGCCATACATGGGCCAAAAAACACAAAAAAATATCTAGTTTCTGCCCGAATTAATAGTTTAGGTACCTAGTCAACAAATATTTTATTAAATAATGAAAATCAAAGTTGTAAGCAAAACTGGATGCAAAATAATTTAAAATACGCATAAAAACATATTCAAAACAAACTTGCTTGGCCGCCACGCCACATTGAATTTTCCTTTTTGACAGATGGATTGAATTGCCTAATACTTCATGCCTAGTATTTTCGCTTTTTTATAATTAAACGTGGCAACATGGCACATTTACGTCTGAATAGGGATGTTGATATCGAAAAAAAATATCGATATATAAGTATCATATCGATATTTAAAATTAATATTGTATCGAGCGTTTGATATATCGTTGAAAAATATCGATATTTCGATATATCGACAAAAAAATTAAATGCTCAATTGAGGCCTGAGGGTCGGTTTTTCAATAGCGAGTCACTTTCGGGTTGGTTGTAACTCCAGGGTAAGCGTATCCAGTTACTATGTTTACCCTAGAGTTATGCGTAACCAGGAAACCAGGGGGTGACTTGATATGGGGAAACCGGCCCTAAGTAAAGGTATTATTTTATGTCTGTAGGTACCTGTACCAGTTATACTGTAAAAGGTTTTTTTCCCAAGCAAGTTATAGTTATTAATAAACAAAATATTAAATATTACGAAAACGAATATTTTTTGTTAATGGTAGTCAACCAGTTATTATCTTCATTTAACATAAATAACCTAAAAAATGGAATTTCATTTTCCTATGTTCTGTTCTGAATGTCTAATGAATGTCATTGCTTGTCGGATCGCTCGAGATGAAACCTCTTAATCGAAATTATTGCCTTGAAAATTTCTTAGAGCGTAGAGCAGTGAATTTTTTTTTGATCGTGGTCGAGAAATATATCAAGTACCGATAGTCAACTTTTAATATCGATATACCGATATATCGAAACAAAAAATATCGGTCGATATTATCGATATATTGGAAGAAAAATATCATCCATTTGATATATCGATATTTTTTCAACAACCCTACGTCCGAATTCCTTCCGTAGACTCAGACCCGCTGGGCAAACAATATCTATAAACTTATGAATGAAAAACTTAAATTAAAATCATAAAAATTCAAAAGATAGTGAAAAAATCGAATGAAATATGTTCCGCAATCATATTTGCAATCCCAGAAACCACTTTGCAATCCCAAAAATCACCTCGCAATCTCAAAAATTAGTTCGCAATCCCCCCTGCAGTCTCTGCAGTCACTGAAATCGCCTCGCAATCCTCCGAAATCTCAAATTTTTAGAAAAATTCTCCGAAATCGCTGCAATCATTTGGAAATCATAGGATTTCCGCAATATGTGTACATATTTTTCAGGAGTGGTCGCCCCCTCGGAAATTTTGTTAGATTTTGTAGGATTTTATGCAATTTCTAGAGATTTTGTGGGATTTTGTTAATTTTTTTAGGATTTTAAAGATTTTTAGGGATTTTGAGTAGATCCTATGAGATTTTCTGTGATTTTCACCAACTTGTACACGGATTTTGACCAACTTGTACACGGATTTTGACCAGTTAACAACCCCTCAGTAATTTATTAAGAAAGTTGTGAGAAATAAAAAATGGAACTAGTATGTAGTTGTATATTGTGAAATTGCAAACAAAAAACACAATTTTGGTTCAAATGCTCATTACAAATTCTATGAGATTTTTTATGATGGGTATTGAAAGAGGACCTTCAAGACTTCTAACTTGGTATTATCTATGATTATCTCTGCTGCCAGTGAATGTTTTTACAAGAAACTATTTTCTAGGTAGAAAGGAAAGAAAGTTTTAATCTAGTTCACAAATTGGATAAATATAAAACATCACAACCAAATAAAGAATGAAATATAAGGAAAAGTTATAACTTACTTATTAATACTTTGCTAAATAGTCCAACAGCCATTATAGTAATTGTACTGGCTAGCCTCCATAAATGTGTAGGTTTTCTAAGGGCAGGTATGATCCAATTAATATTACAAGCCATCTGTAACAGTATCTATTCAACAAACTATTGAGCAAAATGTTACTTAGGTATCCTTGTAGAGCCTTTATCTATTCAATATAAACGTATTGCACATAGTAACATCATAATATTCAAATTACTTCATTGGAAGATAGAAATTCACTGTTGTCGATTGGGTCATCGTTTGGTGAAATTACATAATTAAATTATCTAATAATGGATTTTTAAAGTGGTCGAGTGAAATGTTCATTGCTCAGGTCAGGCTGCACAAAAGAGAACACAAAAATATATTTAAAAACTTGTAGTTTCTAATTTTTTTAAATGAAAGACAATAAATATCTTGCGCTACTACAAGTTGGAAAACACACGCTAATTGAATACGTGAGTCCCGTGAAAAATGCTCAACCTCATTATGATCTATTAGATTTTAATTAGCAATTTGAGATTTTTAGTGGTAATTATCTCAGTAATTGCTTTGCTACCAAAAATCTTATTATAGGCAAGCAAGGTGCGATTTTTTTTTGACTTTGACGTTTGTTTAGGTTTGTTGATTCACATGTGACTGACACATGACATTTGTTTATCAATTCATAACCCTTTTCACGTGGCTCCGGTTTAACGAACCGCAACATACCTTACATACCGCTCAAATTCGAGTGGTATAGTCCTATTCACGATAGAGTTTGAATTTTGACCGTTATTTTCACCAGTTGAAAATAAATAAAATCCCCAGATCTGTCCCTTTTTCTGACAACTATCAAATAATGATACATGACATTTTGATTTGACATATAAAAATATCAGATTCGGGTCCTTGAATTTTAATAGCGTTTTCTGTTGGTAAAACTCGTGCTGTCCGAGTTCTGCACTCAACACTGAATCAGTTCACGTTTAGGGCAATTCCAAAAGAACATGAATTTGGCGCGTTTTGTCATTCTTTTCAAATTTAATAGCTTTGTTCGCGGGTCCGATTCCGAATCGGTTCAGAACTAATTCGGGATTGTCGTAGAGCGCATGCCTAGTTAAGAATCGGTTCAGGATTTCTTTTTACCGCGAACGATTTTGGAACCAAAAACCGAATACTTTTAAACATTATGTGATTTGTGAACCTTGGCTATTTGATTTTCATAAATCAAAAAGAATAACAGAACAGATATAATATTTATATTTATTCAAAATTTGAAAATGCTCTATACATTGTTCATCCCTGAAATGTGGCATCACCTTCTCAAAATTACATCGCTTTTAGGAACTCAAATAAGCTCTAATTCTTCCTTGTCCTCATCAGTCATCGTTAGATGACAAATGGTCCGACTAGTAGTAGTAGGTACTTAGATGAAAAAAAAAATCACTAAAATTGTGCATATAAATAAATATATTAGATTAAATAGAGATAAGTAACTTACATAATACTGTACTGCAAATTCAGTAAACTATAAACTCCGTCGGAAAAAACTAGCGTATAGTTTATCGTTTCAGCGTAAGAACAAACAAAAAACCCAAATTTCCATAACGCAAACACAAATAAACACCAGTCAGCTGACAAGTCTGACAAAATTGCGCAGGAGCAGCCGAACCGAACTTTTAGTCCTAACAAAAATCCTGGGACTGCTAGAACCGATTCCGAATCAATTAAAACCAATTCTATGTGATCCGCGAACGTAGAACTGTTACTAAAAATTCAGAATTTTATTATCCGCGAACGCAATTTTTTACTCTGCGCATGCGAATAGTCCCTGAACCGATTCGGAATCGGACCCGCGAACAAAGCTATTTAACGATCCCTGATCACTAACCTAACCTAAAGATATTTTCAGTGGAATAAAAATTAAAAACGTTTGTGTGTATGAAAAAGTTGAAAACGGAAGTTTTTCCTGTATGTAAAGTACATAATTATGCTATCTCCCGAGATGTGCAGAAATAATTCCAATGATACCTGCGTTGAAATTAATTTTTATGTCAATTTCAATAATAAAATTTTGAATTTTTGGTATCTCATTATCCCTGGCAAACATTCAGGCTTATGATGTATCGTCCTGTTATTTCAACGTCTGTGTTATAAGGCTCAACATCTATTTCTGTCTCTATTTTGACGTTGCTGTTAAAATAACAGAAAATGATACATCATAGGCCTGCGATTGTATTTAATAATAAATAGGTCTGTTTCTGCAGAAATCACAAACCAGTCAGAGTAAATTTCATTGCTTGAAAACAGTCAAAAACAGTCAGAAAACTAGTTTCAACCAATGAAATTCACTCTGACTGGTTTGTGATTTCTGCAGAAACAGACCTAATAATTCTTCCTCTTCATCGCTGTCGCTCGACGAAGATAAAAAAATATAGAATTTTATCAATATCGATCGATATCCATAATTTTTTGGTTTTGTTTATACACAGACTTTTCGGCACTTTACGCCATTTTTGTTGTGCCCTGATATTGGCACGAGCTCTCTGACCTCGTGCTGGAAAAGTTGCACGAGGGCAATAATTGATTGCCCTGGTTTTCCAATAGAACATAAAAACCCGCTCGGAAACTGCCAATAGAACATAATTTTTGCATGAGTGCAGCACGAGTTTTACCAACAGAAAACGCTATAAATTTCGAATTTTTGTGTAAAATCGTTCAGTTTTTTGCCGTTTTCAGCATTATTTTTTTATTTGTTATTATCGCAATCGGTTTTTTGGTTTTTTATTTAGTGTTCTGTGCCTTTGTGTATCGGTGTTGCGTTTCAAACCTGGTTTTACTTTGGATTTAAGTGTTTACTCTTTTTATAGGTGTTTACTTTGGACTCTAATTTTTGGATTTTTGGATTTTAATAACTTAACTTCCTTCAAAGAAATTGAAAATAAATTTTTATTCTGAAATGTATATCACTTTTCTAAATACGACCCTGTCCTTTATCCCAGCTGACGGAATCGAAGCACTAACGCATGCAACCTAAAGAAAAAGTTTACTAGGAATGTCAACGCGAACTGTCAACAGTGTCAACTTCACTTTCTATCGTGATTACGAATATATCGAAAGTCACTTTGTAACCGGGTTAGAAAACGGTTTATCATTTCTCTAAGAGCCGTTTTACACGGCAAAGTTTCTTCACGAAATTACTTACGAAATTGTTGCTGAAATATTTCGTAAATCAACTATTCCTGTTTTACACGACAAGAAAAACTTACGAAATATTTCACGAATAAACTTTAGAAAATGTTCTATAGTTTTTGTGGGCGTGGCCGAAAATATGCGTAAGTTTCGGCGCACACTAAAAGGCAGTTTCTTTTTCGTGGAGCCTGGAGCCTATGAATGCGTCATTGAATTTCCTATGTAATAGATAAGGATAGACTGCTCATCGGTGAAAAAAGTAATGCACCCAAAAACAGCTGGGAAATAAAAAAAAAAAACAAATTCAACTTTATGAAACTGCAGGGCAGGAGGGTACAAAGATTCAACAACAATTAGAAAGCGGAAGTTTTATTTGTTTTGGTTTATCAAAGTATGAGGTTATGATTTGATATTATTGATGGCAAAATGTAACTGCGCCTGCGTAAGACTAATATTTCCACGAAACTTTTGCTAGACTTTTATTTGCCGTCTCAAACAGGAAAAAGCGAAACCAAGAATAGTAAACTTACGAAATATTTCGGCAATAATTTCGTGAATAATTTCGTGAAGAAACTTTGCCGTGTAAAACGGCTCTAAAACAGGGGGCGGATTACGAACTCTCGATTCGAACCGAAACCGCCATGTATTTCGAACGCACTCCATGCGAATGCATCAGAATGCGTTCGAAATCCATGGCGGTTTCGGTTCGAATCGAGAGTTCATCGTAATCCGCCCCCAGCTCGGCGATATGGTTACGTTTAGCATTTAACGGTTAGAATAAAAACTATAGAAAATTTGTAAACAACAGAGAGCGGAAAAATTGTGACAGGTGTAAACTGAAATATTAAGTTGTGTTTTGTTAATAATATTCTAATCTACGTCGGTGTCATTATGACACATTTAGCATTGCCATTTGAATGTCATTAGGTTCTTCATAATAGCACTAGTGCGTATAAGAATTCATAAAAACACTCAAATTATGAAATGAAAAATATACAAAAAGAAAGTTAGTTATTACCAGAAGAACCTTTTCATTGATGCTGTCTCGATATACGAAGGGAGACTTTCTCAGAATCACCAATATTGATATTATTTTCCACTATAAAACTGAATTTATGGCACAAAAATGGACTCCAATATTGAACCTGCCAAAGTCAAAATTCTAAAAATCAACAAGCAGGTTCCCGACTAGTACGGGCACCTGCTAAATTTTGAATTTTAATTTGAAAAGTTTTTGCTATTTCAAGGGAAATCAAATCTATTTGGGTGATCGTAGATTAAATTTTGAATGATACACGTTCGATATGAACTGTATTAATGAAACTTGTGTAACTAAACCACTGATCAACTAAACCACTCGGCTAACGCCTCGTGGTTTAACGTTACACGCGTTTCATTATGGTGTTCATATCGAACTAGTATTATTAATTAGGAATGTCAATAACCGGTGGTAAAACCGAAAAACCGGTGTTTTCTCTTCGGTTAACCGGTAGAAACCAGTTGTTTTTTGCTTCCAATTATAACCGGATAACCGGGTTTTATACCTGATAACCGGTGAAAGTGAAACAAGTAGACTATTATCTCGTCTTAATAAATAAATTGTAAAATATTGAATAAGCGACAACAGTCAAATATTTCCACAGTCTATAACCGATAGTAGTGCCCATCTCTAGTGGGTATTTCATTTCAGTTTCGGTTAAGGGCGGGTATTATAAAACTATTTTGAGAGTTAACTTAAAGTTAACTTCTGGAATAGGGAACTTGACAAAAAATTTAAACAGGAAAATATTACTATAAATCATAAAAATACATTAATTAAAACCTATATCAGCGAAAGAAACAATTTTTTTTGTCGCAAACGGCCACAATAAGGAATTAAAAATGCGGAAAAATTCAAATTATTTCCAGCGGGAAAAATCGCTCTGGTACTGGTCGTGACGTTATCTAGTATGATCTGTCAGTGTCTGTCAGCAGCCGTCCATCAAACCGTGAGTTCGTCTTGAAACACTGAGCGCTCGGAGCATTTTCCGTCTTTTTTCCTTATGATGAGAAGAACAGGGATAAAAGAACAAAAACAGCAGCTCCGAGCGTTTACTCGAACACTGTTCCCAACGTTGGATCGATCCAACGTTGGGGCCAATGGTTGGACACATCGTGTGGCGCCGGCTTAACGCAAAATCATACTACGTGACGTCATCCAGATTCGCGCGCATTTAGGGTCGTTTGAAATGCTTTTAATTCGCGCGAAACTTTAAACATTTTTCACCAAGTTATGAGTTTTAGGGAATAATATTTGGGGAATACTCTTTCAAGGCATAAATAAATGATTTTAAAAAATAAAAAAAAAATTGTGAAGTTCCCTATTACATGTAATTCAAAAAGTTAACTGTCAAAGCAGTTTTATAATACCCGCCCTAATTCGTTCAGTAGCTAGC